CTTCTGCAAGTGGCAGGAGTAGATTGTTCCTATCAAGTGAGCATCCAGAGCCAACTTTGCGGTCTTAGTAAGTACTGACTCTAAATTTTTTTTTAATCTTATAACATGTAGAAAAATATGCTCTTCATTTAAAAAAAAAAGACAATTTTTTTTTTTTTTTTCAAAATATTCGGAGCGCTACACGAGTGAACGTAGATCTATGTTTGGACAGTTTAACCCTTTCAGGGTTGAGAGGCCCTCTCCTAAACTTGTTCTCAGGGTCAAAAATTTTTTGGAAAAAAAAAATTTTTTTCTTATGAAAAGGCAGAGAATCTTTTCCCGGTCATAATGACACCAAAAGTATGAAATTTAATGGAAAACTTATAGAATTATGCTCTCGCGAAGTTAGTCTCGATGTTTACGCATCGGCGATTTCGCCCACTTTGAGCCCTATTTTTGGCCAATTCCAGTGTACTAGTCGACAAAAATCATAACTATTTCGCTAGAACTCCATTTTTTCTATCGAATGAGTACAAGAAACCACCCATTTACTGATTTAATCTATCCAATAAAGTGGTCAGAAATTAGCAATTTTGCCAATTTCACACAAATTTCAAAAGATGCCAGTTTCCAAATAGGGCCCAGAATAAGCCAGACAGACATTCCTGGCACTAAAATAACATTTCCTCTGTTCATTAGTCATGTCCCCACGCCCCTCTTACATTTCTTTTGCTTTCCACTTTGAATTTTTATTCTCGCAAAAAATAGAAGATTTATTGTTATGCAGACTACTGTATTAGTGTAGAAATGATATCAGGACACTTGTGAAAGAATATTAGACTCGCCAGATTTTTTTATACTGTGCACACTGACCACATAGACCCATTCTTTCATATGTAGGCCTACCAGCTTTCTCTCGCTATATTTGAAGGCGCTATAATTTAGGCGTACTAGTACGTCAATAACCCTGGTACGTAAGCCGTACTAGTATGTCGGAAACCCTGAAAGGGTTAAGGGTTAATATTTTCAGGCTGATGTAACCGCGTATAACTGAAACTGTGGATACGAGACCTGCGGATACAGGACCTGTAGATACAGCAGTCCTACTGTAGTATTGCACATCATACATTTTTATCAGTTATTTTATTCTTGCTATTATTTTCACAATTGAAGCCTGCATTGAATGAACTTTCTTTGGCTAAAATTGTAACCATATTCCTTAAATGCTTAGAAAATTTTAAATCTTACCACAGAATTAAATTTACAATGGCTATATATACCTGTAATATAACAGTAATTTGTACCTTAGATAAATATATTTTATGTAAGCTGATAAAAATTTTATTTTTATCATTTGCTTCTGAAGTTTTTCAATAAATTTCATTTTAGTTTACTAAATTTTTTGTAGGATTTAGGCAGTGCCTAATGGGTAATACTGCCATGGTTTGAAACACTATTATTTATGGTCAAACACTATTTATCGTCTATCACCCCCTCCAGGGAGGTTCCTTGATGCTGGTGAGGGCTTCTTGATCTAGGAAATTGGATCTGTGCTCTGGTTCCCTGAATTGAGCCTGAATATCTTCCCATATGCCCCCCCACGTGCACTGTATAATCCTACAGGTTTAGCGCTTCCCCATAATTATAATAATAATATGGTCTATCACAATCTTGTTGGAACAGTTGTACAATTTCAGTAATAATGCCTGTGCTTGGAATGATAGCATGTGGAACCCACAGCTAAGTACAGTGGAACCCCGGTTATTGGCCGTAATCCATTCCATAAGGTCGGCCTAAATCCGAAAAGGCCAAAAACCGAAGCAATATTTCCCATAAGAATTAATGTAAATCCAATTAATCCGTTTCAGACACTCAAAAATATTAACAAAAAATACATTTTTTAAAGATTAACTGTAGTTTTACATACAGAAAAAATTATAAATATAAAGCACAAATTTTAATGATAAATGAACATTACATACCTTTATTGAAGACTTGTTGGCGTATTGAAGAAGGCAAGGAGGGGAGAGGGAGTTGGGAATCCCCCTCTATAAGGTATCAAAACCCTCTCTAGGGTTACTTCCCTTCTTTGTCCTTTACTGTCACAGTACATTCATTACTTACTTTAAAATATTTGTAGTCTTAATGTAGGGTGAGAGGTGAGTAGTACTTATTTGTAGGATGTTGGTGTAGGCAGCGGTAGATGTAGGTACACGTATGTAGCCCCCCTGGGCTACACTGCACAACTATATTATTACTGTCTTCACTGAGTTTAATCATTTCTAACAACTACCTTTAGATGCCATCATAAACAAAGGGAGAAGTAATGAATAATTCATACCAAGAATTGTAAACAATCGCGTATGAAGGGCGGTGACTGGGCCAGACACTAGTTTCAGAGTTTTCTCTAATGCTGACTCAGAGAAAACATAATGTTTACTCTTCACCCAACTCACCACTCGCAATGTTTATATGCCATGTGCTATGTAATGTGTTTCTTATATAATTTTGAAGAAAATATCATAGCTGGATTAATGAAAATGTCTATATTAACCTCAAATTAGACATTTAATGTGCCCAAGAGTGATTATTATTAACCCTTAAATGGTCCAAATAGATTGACATTCAAATCCGTAGTGCTTCAAAAGTAGATCTATTTTTTTTTACACATTTTCAAATGTAAAAAACAAAAAGATGATGTACATTTTTTACATATTTTCAAATGTTGAAAAAACATATATATACGTTTGGACCGTTTAAGGGTTAAGCATACATCACATAAACATTGCATGTTTTTATATACAGTAGACCGTAATTTAACACGGTTTTGTCTGGCATGTTTTGGTTATAGCACGATCGAAGAATTGTGGCATACTTTTGTTTAACACTTCATGAAATGAATTTAACATGGTTGCAGTAGGGGAAAAAATTTTGAGCCGAGTCAGAAAGCGTTGGATGCTTTGTGTGGGTGCGGGCAGGCGGATGCGTTTGGTACGGCGGACCATTGTCAACTCTATGAAAACTGCGTGGCTGTACGAAAATTGGGACAAAATTTTGATGAAAAAAGCTATCGAAAACTGAATCCTATGAAAACCAGGGCACATGAAAGCCGAGGTTATTAATTTACAATCATGAGGAAGTAAAAAACTTTTAGGAGTCAGGCATTACCTGGGGAATAGTATGTAATCAGGCTTGATCCAAGGGAAGGGTATCTCTAATTGACTTAAGAAATCGTAATGACACGATTGCAAATAAACCATACCCCCGGCCGGGATTGAACCCGCGGTCATAGTCTCAAAACTCCAGCCCGTCGCGTTAGCCACTAGACCAGCTAGCCACTTTAAGATTCATCCAACTAGGTATATTTCTACACCATAGGAAGGTTAGCACAGGCACCTCTGTGACCACAAATGCAAGTTTTTACAGACGAATCTCCAGCTAGCGTGGCCGTGACGAACTCTAGCTCAAGTCCCTTCACTGCCGTCAACATGACTTAAGAAATCGTAATGATACGATTGCAAATAAACCATATGGTTTATTTGCAATCGTGTCATTACGATTTCTTAAGTCATGTTGACGGCAGTGAAGGGACTTGAGCTAGAGTTCGTCACGGCCACGCTAGCTGGAGATTCGTCTGTAAAAACTTGCATTTGTGGTCACAGAGGTGCCTGTGCTAACCTTCCTATGGTGTAGAAATATACCTAGTTGGATGAATCTTAAAGTGGCTAGCTGGTCTAGTGGCTAACGTGACGGGCTGGAGTTTTGAGACTCTATGACCGCGGGTTCAATCCCGGCCGGGGGTATGGTATCTCTAATTCTTTAGATCAAGGCACCCCTCCCTAACTTGTCTATGGAACTGAGCTCTCACAGTGCATTTTCCAAAATTTTAAAAAACTTTAGGATTGTAGGATAATATGCAGAAATAATATGAGAACAAACAACACTTTGCAAAAAATCTAACTGAATATTTTTCTTTCAGCAATACACTAAGGAGGAATAATAAAACAGATGCTACTGTATAAATCTACACTGTACAGAGAGAATCTTGCATAACAATAAGTTTGTAGAAACAATGTAGCATGAACTACTTTCAAGAACATCTTAACATAATAGTTATTTAGCAAGTTGTTAAAGTACTTGAACATACAAGACAGTGAACCTTTACTGATATTCTAGATGATATATGCTCTCTCTCCATAACTGTGACACTGTATGCATTTTATAGTTCCTAAATGTTTGCAAGTCTCACAAAACAACTGACTGTTTCATCTTGTCATTACCAAAGACTAATATGTTTGCTGTAAAATATATTTTCACAGTTTTCTAATTAAAAGCTTTTAAATCCAAATATCTAAAGTACAGTATTTTCAGTATTGTATTGGTAGTTTTTCTTTTAACCTTGAAGCAATGGAAATTTTAAAATAAAATTTTATGTATAATGCATTATTTTACTTTCCTCATACCCTTCACAGGAGGCTCTCTAATTAATGCTGGTGAAGATCTTAGTTCAAAGAATTGGACTTTTCTTTCCCTTCCTCAGATTGAACCCAATTGCCCCTTATTTCTCAGGCACTGCATGACCCCATTGACTGTTAAAGATCCTACACAACCATCACTAATATACTAATCTACACTTTGGTTGGTTGGCAAATAATCCATATTATTAGACATGTTTTTACATGTATCTGTACACTACTGCATAAACTGAAGCCTAGTTTCTTATCACATTTGAAATTTCGAAACAGTTCTCTATCTTTTCAATCACAAATTTATTTTTAAATATCTACCTACACTTTACTATTCACATTTTTCTTAATTAAATTATTCATTAAAATATTCTCTTTTCATTTTTATTGCAGTCTGGCATCACTTTTCATATCTTTGTTTTTCAACTTTACACTTCAATGTTCAGTTATTACTACGGATATTCATATATTTTTTTCTATATAAAAGGCCGAATCTACAATGTGAAAAATATCCAAGTGATTTTAGATTCAATGATGACAAAATAAAACAATAAATAGTACTCACATGTTTTTACTTTTATTAACTTAATTACTTAATTTTATAAATCATTTATACAGTTTTGATTTGCGTGGGTGTAGGAATTGAAGGAGAGGTATGTGTGTTAGGGGAGGCAGGAGAATGTTAATGTCGGTGGTCACGTGAGAGTGAGGTAGTCCGCAAACCCTCACTCTTAGTGAAGTCTATTTGAGCATAACTGAGGGGTTCATCATCTCCAACCGTGGGTTCTTGAATACACGCTCCTTGAGTAACTGTCGTGCTTACAGCTCGACGCGCTGTTCGGGGTGATGGCCTAACACCCTCACATTTAGCTGGACCTAGGTCTAAGGCGACATAATTTAGCCCAGTGTCTCCACTGCTAACAACTGCTGAGGACTGTTGACTGGATACTGATGAAGGAACAGTGGAATGAGCTACCAATTCTGTCGGGGTATCTTGAACACGACTTGTTACATTTGACCCTCCCTCTCGCCGTCCCACACCCAAGTTAACCACAGTACAGGTGGATGAAGCAGAGGAGAGTCCACCCTCACTAAGGGATGATACAGAGGATACGGAGCCACCCAAAGTAGGAGAAGTAGGTGGCGAATATGACACTGGGGAGGAACATGCTGAAGCTGCCCGCCCATTGCTACCCTGACTTCCAGAACCACTTCTTGGTTCTGAGAGCTGTTTCTTAACACGCACCTCACTGCCTACGGAACTTCCTTCTGGCGCTCCTGGCCCACTGTGACTCCGGCAGCGCTCATTAGAGCTGCTGCCAACTGAGCTACTAAAATTAAGTCGTTCAAGGGTAGCAGTGAGGGAAGGCTCTGGTCGACCACCAAGTAATGCCGGGGGAATGTCTGGTCGCTGAGTTACCATTCGAGGAGAAGAGGGCTTAGGTGGTGGAGGTTGTCCAGGAGTCATCAGTAAGTAACCACTCTCGCCACCACCTTCAGTCCCCCCACTACTGCTAGAAATACTTAATCTTTCACTATCTTTTTGACTCTGTTGCCTAGAAATTCCTTGTCCTATATTAGGGCTACTCTTATCACTGGTATCACTACTTCCAGGAATATTACTTTTGGTACTGGGAGGCATCATATTCAGAGGAGGAGGAGGAGGCTGAGCAGGGGCTAGAGAAGAACTACCACCATGTACAGACTCAGAACGTCCTCCAGGGCACATATTAACATACTCATGAGGTTTGTGTGTGTCACTTTCCGAAACTTTACCAGATCCCATTGGAGATACATTCATATAATCCAAAGACACTGATGAATTAGAAACTTTTCGCTGTCTAACTTCTGTTGTTGTAGTTTTATCACAAGAACCAAGTGCTAAATTAACATATGCCCCTTGATCACTGCCACTGGTATTAACCTGCTGCTGACTGCTGCTGCTGTCTTTACATAATGATTCTAAGTCAATAGATCCCCAATTTTCCTCCTGCTTTGCATCTGCCTGAGATGTGGCATCAAAGATCCCTGAAATTCTCTTGCTACCATCATTAATATTTAATGTTTGTTTACTCTGCTGCTCACCACTATTAGGAACTGTCTGTGAGGATGTAGTGACACCCACATTATCATGAGATATGGCACTCTCTTCAGCCTCTCTACTTGACTCTTTAATACAGCTTGTGCCAATGCCTGAGCTTAAGCTGGAGGTCATTCCCCCAGAGCTCTCCTTCACAACACTGTCTCGACGACCATCCTTATCATCCCTGTTTTTACTTCGAGTCAAACTTGAAAATGGACTAGGAGTTCCTCGATTTGATTTTGGAAGTGGACTACCTGTGGGGGAGAGAGGTGTCTTAGGAGGTGTGCCCGAGTTTTTACGACCTAGAAGAGTGGTCAGGGAAGATAACGGGCTTGTACCTTTTTTACTTACTTCATGTAGTCCTTCACTATCACTGCTTTTTCCTATAACATTTATTGGTTCAGATTTCTTTCTTTTAGTGCTTTCCTTAAATGATTTTCGCTTACTACTTTTCTTCTCTTTTTTCTTATGCCTTTCCCCATCAAGTGAATGGGAAGAGGAGTCAATGTTACTACGAAAGTCTACGGGAATATATTCATCCAACTGAGTAGTAGTGTCTTGGGAAGACAATACATTTAAGGTGGACGAAATCTTTCTGACTCTAGCACCAATGGAAGATGAGCTGTTTGAAGTTGTGGACAATGAAGAAACTGAGGTTAGAGGGAGTGGCCCTAAACCTTTCCCTTGACTCATATCTACATAGCCATCATGAGACCCTGAAGACCCTAATCGATCACTGCCTCTGGACATGTCTACATAAGGATCTGCAAATGAAGTCTGTCTAATCAATGAATCCCTACTACTCATATCCAAGTATTCTGAGGTACATAAAGGTTGAGTTGTAGTTATGGCAGGTTTCATGGGAAGATACCCATCATAAGAGTCTGAGGTCTTGCGATGAGGGCTTGGATTAATATCAATTTCATAGTAGTTGCCCCTTTCAGAAAGCTCAATACTCTTAGCAGATAACTCACTCTCGGATTTCTTCTTGTCCCGTTTTATGGAATCGAATACAGATGATTTGCCATTCCCAGAGGATTTTGAATTTGAACGATGCCTCTGACCAGTCAGAGTTCTTTTAATGCTTTCAAAGCTGCTACTCTTCTTTTCCTTGTCAGCAGATATACTGTCACAGCTTTTGTTTTTTGAAAAGTCAAATTCCATCAGGTCATTATTACGTTCTTGGCTTCGAGTGTGAAGAAATCCTTTGAAGAAGGTTCCTGGAGTGCCCGACCATGAATTAGATATTGGTGATGATCCCAATATGGGAGCACTGTAAACAGAAAAAAGTAAATATTAATTTAATAATAAGAAGCCATACATTATTGGTGTTTAAAATGAAATGTTAATGTATGTAAGGTATGCCTTAGTATTTATGGAAATTTAATTTATAATCTTAAGGTAAAAACTAGTTTTGCTAATCTATTCAGCTCTATGTCAGAAATAAAATTACTTAAGAGGCAAATTTCCCAATGCAGAATGACTGAGAGACACAGATAATGAATACACTTAAAACTTCATGCATAGAAAATATAAAGTTTATGAAGGAAATTATCTTTCAACTACTATTTTCAAACTAACAAATGAGGAACTTTAATAGTATTTGTTGAAAACAATCACAAAATATTACACCAAAAATGATCTCTTAAGTAATACCAAACACATCTACCTACTGGGTATTTTCAAAATAATATTTCTGTCTTAGGCTATAAACTACAAATCATAAAAAAAATTCCATTTCCTAGAAAATAAGAACGACAATCTATGATGTACTACAATGGGAAAATCTTCTTGATATCACTGAGAGCTCATTCCTTCATGTGACTATGCTCATATGCGAGATGAATTTTTCCCTCTTATATCTACTGTCTCACGTTTACACAAAAAATGAATAACAATACAGACTGAGGGGTTTGGGATACTGGCAGTTTGGAGGGATATGTTGTGTATCTTTATACGTATATGCTTCTACACTGTTGTATTCTGAGCACCTCTGCAAAAACAGTGATTGTGTGTGTGTGTGGTGAAAGTGTTGAATGATGATGAAAGTATTTTCTTTTTGGGGATTTTCTTTCTTTTGGGTCACCCTGCCTCGGTGGGAGATGGCCGACTTATTAAAAAAAAAAAAAGACTGAAATATTGTTAGCAATACTTTATTCCTAAACCTTAATGGAATCAATACACTTACTTTATTAATACACTTAACTACACACTGATTTAAATATAAAATTTTTTTGACATCTTTTAGACCTTGGGAAAAATGTAAGAAATAAATGCTGAGATTAAATTTATTGACTTCAAAAGAAGATAGTATTTTACATCATGAGTGCATATATATTATGTTTTAATCACAGATAATGTGTTTTGATATGTGTAATATTAACAGCTCAAGTCACCTTAATACAAAAGCCAATTTTTGATGCAAAAATAAAACATGCAATGCAAATTCAAAATGTTTTCTCATAAGACTTCACTTTCTGGTGTGACTGCAAATATTGTCCATTTGTCACATATGACTTCACTTCCTGGTACCACTGCAGATACTGTGCATTTCCAAAAGTCCCTAAACTGCTTCATTGCCCATTATGAGATATATGTCAAATAGCTACACTCAAAACTTGAACCATTCTCAATATAGTACAGTGAACCCTCGACCAATGATGGCATCGTATAACGTTAAATCCGACAAGCGATACATTTTAACGCAAAAATTTTGCCTCGACTAGCGCTAAAAAACTCGACCAACGCGATTCGTTCCGTTGAAGACGCGTCCACGTGTGGCCTGAGCGCGCCTCACTTGCCCCGTGGGTGCCAGTGTTTACAAGCCAGCCACCGCGGTCACATCCAAACATACAATCGGAACATTTCATATTATCACAGTGTTTTTAGTGATTGCACCTGTAAAATAAGTCACCATGGGCCCCAAGAAAACTTCTAGTGCCAACCCTATGATAAAAAGGGTGAGAATTAGTATGGAAATTAAGAAAGATTTTGAAGGGTTTGGGGCTAACCCTGAGACACCTATGCCAGTAGTGGAATCCATTGTGCCTACTTCAAAGATTAAGGAAATGTGTGCAAAGTGGGTTGAACTGCAAACCTTTATGGATGAAAATCACCCTAACACAGCTATTGCAATCCGTGCTGGTGACTATTATAATGACAATGTTATGGCCCATTTTAGACAAATCTTAAAGGAACAGGCGGTACAGAGCTCTATGGATAGATATGTTGTGCGACAGAGGTCCAGCGACTCTCAAGCTGGTTCTAGTGGCATTAAAAGAAGGGAAGTAACCCCACAAAAGGACTTGACACCTCAAGTCCTAATGGAAGGGGATTCCCCTTCTAAACACTAACACCATCCACACTCTCCCCTCCCATCCCATCAATCATCACCAGATCTTCAATAAAGGTAAGTGTCATGTAATTGTACATGTCTTCTTCAGTTTGTGTGTATTAAAATTAATATTTCATGTGGTAAAATTTTTTTTTTTCAATACTTTGGGGGTGTCAGGAACGGATTAATTTGATTTCCATTATTTCTTATGGGGAAAATTAACTCGACTAACGATAATTTCGACTAACGATGAGCTCTCAGGAATGGATTAATATCGTTGGTCGAGGGTCCACTGTATTAACAAACTTATTTATCTAAGAACAGGCAACCCTCATTCAATGGGTCCCCATTGAAGAATGCCTCACTAAACTCTGCACAATATTTTCACTCTGGGCAACAGCTGTGCTTTCCCAAGAATAACAAGAAGCAAAGAGTGCAGACTAAGAATATCAGAGGTTCTATTGTAAAAATGCACATTCTCAGTCTTCAGACTGTAAAAGGCTTTACCCTGTCAGAAGACTCAGCAGCATGATCCAACTTTCATTTATGTTCACAGTTCTAGATACAACTTTCCATGTTAAAGTTTGCCCCAATCCACTTGATGCAACAAGAGTATGATTAGATCTTGGTAGCCTTTTAATAAATGTTTCCTGTACAAAATGTTCTCCCTTTTACATACCAATAGGTAGTACATGTGATGATTCAAACCCATTAAATCTAGGAAAATAAGTTTCCTCTTCTATATTTAACCAGCAGGACTCTAGATCACAAGCTACCCCAAGACTTTCAGAGATCAATACAATATTTCTCCCACAGAATGAAATACTAAATAAGTTTACTAAAATTCTTATTCAGAGTAACTAGAAGGAATCACAGGTCTTCTATCTCACTACAACTATTACAATTTGTTGAGTCACAAGCTAGGAGTTTAAAAGCAATGCATCAGTTCTTGTTCAAGTTCATTATCGTACTTCCATAAGATCTCTTGGAGATTCCACTCAAATGCATGAAAAGAGATCCTTCATTGCACCAAGTCCAATTGCCAGGTTAACCATTGGCCACAGGGCCTGTGTGTACTCACCTATCTTTATTCACCTATTTGTGGTTGCAGGGGTCATCTTGGCTCATGGCCCTGCTTCTTAATTTGCCACCAACCAGATTTACTCTTAGTCTTGTGGGCCCAGCCATACCAATTTATAAAACTATGTATGAAGCCTGCCTCCACTACTTCTATGTCCAGATTACTGCACTTCCTAACCACTTTGAGGCTGAAGAAATACTTCCTGACATCCATGTCTAACTTCCAACTGTGTCCTCATTTTCCTATGCCCTGCCTCTTAGTCTAAACCTATCAAACCCTCTGAGTACTTTGTACTTTATTATTATATCTCTTCTGTTCTTTCTGTCCTCTAGAGATGTCAGGTTCAGCTCAGGTTCACTCTTTTCTCACAGCTCATTTCCTTTAGTTTAGAGACTAGTGTGCTTGAATACCTTTGAACTTTCTCTAATTTCTTATATTTTTTTCCAGTAACTTTTGTGGCCTGTGAGACCAGTATAATGCATAATGTATATACAGTGGAAACTCGGTTTTTGTATGCCCTAGTTTGTATGTAAAATTATAGTTATTCTCTGTAAAATGTATTTTTTTTTTAATATTTCCCATAAGAAATAATGTAAATCTAATTAATCCATTCCAGACACCCAAAAATATTAACAAAAAATACATTTTATAGAGAACTATAGTTTTACATACAAACTAGGGCATATGAAAACCAAGGTTCCACTGTATGTACACTCATTGTATTCAACACAATATCCGCACTAACATTTTCATCATTACAGCCTCTCTTCACTTAGTGACATACTCGTTTACTGACGACTCAGACTTACAACGGGCTCTCTGACCAGTATGAGTACCTATATAATGTACAGTAGGGCCCCACTTATACGGCGGGTTAGGTTCCAGGCTGTCGCCGGAAAGCAGACATCGCCGGAAGGGAGAACTCCATTTTTTTCCATTTATAAATGCATATAAATGCCAGACAACAAGTTTACACTAAATTATATTAAGTTACTAATAGAACTAGGCATTAAAAACACACAAAGTAAAATAGTCACAGTAAATTCATTACTTATCTTAAAGTATTTGTAATCTTAATGTAGGGAGAGAGGTGAGTAGTACTTATTTGTAGGAAGTCAGGTGCATATAGCCCAGGTGTAGGTAGCACTGGCTCCCAGTCTCATACTTAATATACGATATTTAAAACATCCCAGATAGGTAAAATGCACATACAGTACACTCATTATTTACCTTAAATTATGTATAGTCTTAATATAGGAAGAGAGGTGAGTAGTATTTGTATAAAGTCAGTGTAGGTAGCCAGTAGGTGTAGCCTGGGCTACACCTGCCAGCTACCTACACTGTGGCCTAGAGCCATATTATTAACATCGACATGCCTTGTTCACTGAATTTAATCATTTCTAACAACTATCTTTAGATGCCATCATAAACGAAGGTAGAAGTAATAAATAATTCATGCCGAAAATTGTAAACAAAAGCGGAGTGGGGGAGTGGGTGGGCCAAACGCAGATTCATACACGTTTTCTCTGAGGGCTGAACAGAGAAAACGTAATGTTGTCCCTCCACCCAGCTCCACAAGTATTATTATCAGAGCATATAAAATATGCAATAAATGCCAGACAACAAGTTTACACTAACTTATATTAAGTTAGCAATAGAAATAGGCATTAAAAACACAATAAAAGGTAAGATACACACAGAGTACACTTATTACTTACCTTAAAATATTAATATTAATGTGTGAGAGGTGAGTGGCAGGGTGTTTATTGAATAAAATCAGAATGGCACACCATCATCCTCTAATTTGGCACATAAAGCAAGAGGCTTACAACTTCTCTTTTTATCACAGCTAACCTTA